GAAAAAAAAGGGTACAAAGAAGGAGGAAAAAAAAAAAAAGGACCTTGGAAGAATAAAACATTTCTGTGTCTCTGACTGCCCGGAGGTGGGGTGCAGCAGTGCCGGCTGAGGGCACAGAGAGTGGGGAGGGACGAGATCCATACAGCTGCGTGACACACAGGGAAGTCGTCATGGCCGCGCTGTGGCACTGCCTGAACCCCCTGATGGTGTGGCTGCCTCCGTGCTGCCGGAGGTCGGGTACCCGTGCTCACCCAGCACGGTGGGCTGGGGATGGGCACCCTCTTGCTGGACAGGAGGGAGGATGTCACATTGCAACAGGGCAGTTTGGGCAGGAAGGGGTTAAAAAGCACCCCAGAACCTCTCTGTCTTCTCCAGAGCCTGGCAGTGGTAGATGGTGTCCCGCCATCCTGTGGGTCTCCCCCTGGGTGGGCTGTAGGGTGGTGGGAAGCTGCTTCTCCACCCTTGGGGCACTTGAGCACTTCTGGTGTCCCGGAGCTGGAGCTGCTGCCGCCACCCCTTCCCCCAGTGCCAACCACTGCAGCCCCTTCTCTCTACTCCATCCCCTCCGCTGGGGCGGGCACCCCGCAGCCCTTCCCCCCGGGGCTCCTCCAGTGCCACCACCTCTCCCTCCGTTGGCCTCAGTTTCCCTTCCCCACTCGGTCCCAACCTCGTCACTGTTTCTCCCAGTGGGTCCCAGCTGGACTCATGCCACGCAGGAGCAGTCCTGATGTGATGTGGCTCATGGCCACTCCTCGCCCCCGAGGAAGCCCAAAGCTCAACATCAAGGGAGAGTTTGTGCCCCAGTTTCCTCCAGGAGAAAGCTGTGGGTGCAACTGGGTAAGCTCAGCGGTGGAAGCTGTTACAGAGGGATGTGCCCCAAGCAAACGGCTGCTGTCCTCACATCTTAACTTCTTTAGCATTTAACGTTTTTCAGGTTTCGTCTGGGTCTATCAGGGCAAGATACCAAAGGAAAAAAAGCTGTGATTAATTAAGCTCATGCATTCAAGGATGGGCCCGTCCAGCCTCCAGCCTGGCAGGTCTGGCTAGGAGCACCTAGCGAGACCTCCGTGGGCATCACCCAGCCCGGGCTGGCGTGGGTGGTCCAGAAATCCTTCATCGCTTGCGCCCCATGCGGTAGGTCACCCCAAACCGGAGCCGAGACCCTGAGCAGCCCCTCTGTGTTCACCCCCCTGCTGTGTCACCCCGGCCAATGTGCCGAACGGCTCACGGGAAGCACCAGCCCCACCTGCCAACTGGTCGCTTGTGGTTTCAACCTTGAAGATGGGGCCAAATGACGCGGCAGTGAGGCGTGGGCGTTCGGGCAAGCGCATTTTTTTTTCTAGCAGAGTTATGTGCTTGCTTGGGAGGGTTCCCCCTCCCCATGGTGTGGCACCACCTCATCCCGAGGTCCCCCATAAACACCCCTTTCTGCTGAGCGCGGAGGCTGGAGGAGGTGGTGGGATGGTGAAGGTCCTGCCTGGGTCTGGGTGGGTGCATTGCTGCCTGGGTGCTCCCACCACATCTTGGTTGGGATGGAGGGAGGCACCTCACTGAGGTTCTGTCTGCCCGATTTTAACAGCTGAACATCAGGCAAAGGAGTCCCACCATGAAGCTGATGGTGGACACCTCCTCCAGCTCCAGGGAGGAGCTCCCCTCTGCAGCCACCCCTTGGCTGTGCCTGTGTTCACCGGACGAGTACATTCCACCCCACTGTAAATGGAGAACGGGACCTTCAAAACAGGCACCAGAGCCCACAAAAGTCACTCTCCCTTTCCAGTCTATGGGGAGGTTTGTTGGTGGGGCCAGAAAAGCCACGCGGCATCATGGCCACCCAATGCCAAGGATGCTGTGGGACGCCCAACGTCGTGCTGGGGTGGCCATCCCTCGGGGATGTGGTTTACTGGGGTTTTTTTTCCAAAACTTGTGATGATGCCAAGGGCCAGAACATCTCCAGATCCATCCTGCCTTGCCCCAAACACCTCCCCCCCACAACTTTGGTAACAG